CCATGTGGCTATTTCGCCAGGATATGAGTTTTATCAATGGTGTCCCGCTTTTATCCCGCTTTACCAATGTTAAAATCTGGTCACCTTACTCTAAAATGGACTGCGTATTTTCCTGGCATGGATGCAGAGTAGAGCAAAGATCTTGGAAAGGGTTAGAGCAGATAACGTTCCTGTAGAAAGTGGGCATGAGAGCAGATTCCCAAGGATGCTGGGGGGCCAGAGGCCGTATGTCAGGAAATCACCTGGCCTCTCCAGATAGCTTGGACCTTTTGCACCTGGGAAAATGGGGAGCCATCAAAGGGTTTCAAGCAGGAGGGTGACAGGATCCAATTCGTTTCAGAGAGCTGGATCAGTGGCGAGTGAGAAAGAAAGATGGAAGGCCACCAGCTGCCGTAGTGGTCCAGCAAGAGAGGATCGGGGAACTGGACTGATATATTAAAACACAGAGGTGGACAAAGACAGATTGGCTAGTGCCCAGTGGCTTTTATGAAATAAAAAGTTTATGGAAGTAATATCACGGCATTGTAGGAAAAATGAAAAACCCAGGAAAGTATGGAGAAGGCTCCCAGTATCGCCGAGCCCAGTGGTAATCACTTGAACAGATGAAGCTACGTTTCTTCTCGTGGGTTTGTGTCCGTCAGTCTTTGGTGGGAGGGTTCTGATGTATTTATAGAGACAAACTTGGTTTAGAAAACTGTGATTCAGGAAGATGTTTCCCAGGACATATGTCTTCATGTCCATTGAGATGTGTACCTCAGTGAGAGTAAAAACAATACCTAATTATTAACCCTGTTGGTTTCTTTCCGTGGTCAGGCCAGAATAGCTCAAACGTGTGGGCTGTGGTTAACCCGCAGGTCCCGTCATGAGCCTTCTGTTTGGGGAAAGTTGTTCATGGATGCAACTCTCTTCTCTTTCTTCAGAATCCGTAGACAGCTGCCCCAGCAACTGCTATGGCAACGGCGACTGCATCTCCGGGACCTGCCACTGCTTCCTGGGATTCCTGGGCCCCGATTGTGGCAGAGGTGAGAGTACTGCACGGCTTCCCATTGCCACTCGAGGAGCCACGCGTCTCGCATCCCATTCCGTGGGGCATGTGCAGAGCCTCAGTCGGCCTTCCAGCCTGCCCAGAATGATGCTGAGGGCTGACATCAGAAGCTCTTAGAGCACGGACTTCAGGCAGATCTGTAACTTCGCCTGCGCTTCTCACCCACCTGCAGATGATTAGGAGACCAGAAGGGAGAGGTTTTATCAGGGCCAAATTCACTGCCATCGGGTTGATGCCAACTGCTAGTAACCCTATAGCACAGGGTAGAACTGCTAATGTAAGTTTCTGGGACTGTAAATCTACAGGAGTAGAAAGCTCTATTTGTCTCGAGGACCCTCTGGTGGTTTTGAACTGCTGACCTTGCCGTTAGCAGCCCAACACTAAGGTGACCAGATTTTAACACTGGTAAAGCGGGACAAAAGCGGGACACCACT